GGCAGATACACCAACATTTCAGCTCCTCCTCCTCAACTCCAGATTTATGCCATCACCAGAGGAGTTTTCTGGCTTTCCTCCAAAGCCCTGAAGGGAGAAATCCATTTTATGTGTCTCACCAGCACAAACCACCAGTCATCTGGGATTTAAAAACTTCTAGAAGAATCATGGCATCTGTTATTTATTTAAAAATAACAAACTGGTCTTTCTCTGTGAATGATCTTTTTGATCATTAAAATGCAAGTTAAAAGAAAAATCAGAGTCACACACGTATCACTTGAAGTTTTGCATATGGAATAAGGGCTTTTCATTTTGTTAGTCAAAATTTGAGTTTAAAAATGTATCAGATAGCTCTCCCTTGCCCAAGGATCTCTGCACGTTAGGAAATTGATTTTTGTTTATATCTGGCAAAATTCTGGCACCTCTCCTTTCATCTATAAACTTGGAAGCAGTGTCCTACATCACAAATGAGCTTTTATCTTCATCTCCAATGGACTGTGTAGCTGCTGTTTCTTGGTCCTTCCAGTCGTCAATCTGTTTATCTCCTCCTGAATTATCTGTTGTAATTAGAATACATTTTCTCATCTCAAGGGGAAACCAGCTCCAAATGAGTGTTCTATAAAAGCAATTACTTTTGATATTAGATATCTGTACATAAAAACACACTATTTCTTCCAATTAAAAAGCACTAATGAATTTTGTGCCTAGAGAGGGAGTAGCCTGCACAGTGCTGTGTTTCTGTGAAGCCCAGGAACAAAAGATGAGGCCTGGAAGAGGGCAGGGAGTGTGTGCTGCACCACTGAATAGCAGATGCAGGAGAGAAGATGGTTCTGCAAGGGCAGAATGTTCCTTTTTTTCCCCCCCAGCAGGTCTGTTGTCAACACTGATGGACTGGATCCCTCTCCTCCACCTTGCCTGCAACCTCTGCCTCTCCCACTGATCCACACTGTCTTCATGTCTTCTTCTCTGATTATCTTTCCTGTCTTCATTGGCAGTCAGTTTTTTGGGGTAGGAACTGTCCTTCTGGGCTCCTGTAGTATTTGCTGCAATGGTATCCTGAAATCTGGACTACAAAGGGGAAAAAAAAAAAGCTGTTCTGGCCAAATCCTGTCCTGGTAGGGCTTATTACATAGGATTTAAGGATTAAAGTGTCAGTATGGTGGGAGCAGAGTGTGTAGGATGGAATAAGGGTGAGCTTCCAGCCCAGATGCTGATAACAGCCCTGGACATGTTGATGGTGTTGAGCACTTGACAGATGTTCACAGGCTGTGCCTCAGGGTGCTCTCTGCAACCAGGAAAAGTCCCTATTTTGAAGAAGAAGAAGAAACATATGGCAAAGCACAGAAGAGGTTGGATATCAGTCCTCTTTCCAGGTAATTTGTCCTGATCTACACAATTTCCAGGGCTTGTGGTCCTGCAGTCTCTCTGCCTGACCAGCTTGTGGGGGTGGAAAAGGAGCAGCCCTCCTACAGGCAGAGCTGCCAGATCACTTCATCCCTTCACCATCATTCATCAGTCTCCTCACAGGATTGCTGCTCATCTGGGCATGGAGACTGAGAGGCTTTTTACTTGGGGTCTGGAGATGAGGTCAAGGCAGCACAAACCCACTCCACCTTCCAGTTTATAGAGCCAAAAAGTTGCACATCAAGTGCTTCAGCTTTACAAGTTGTTGCAGTGTTTTCCTTTCCAGACCATCAGCCACAGGGGGCTGTTTGTCTTCTCCCTGGTTCATCTGCAGAGATGCTTGGGGTACCAGGGGACATAAACCTTTCAAGCAAGGATACAGCAAACTGGACTGCAATTATGAAAAATAAGGCTGCATTTTGGGTTTCAGGTAAATGGAAGTGCTGGAGTCATTTAAGATTGGATGAGGTCTTGTTTGGTGCTCTCCTCCTCGCAGGAAGTTGGAGCTTGTATCCCTATGGGATGTGATTTACTGAATGTTTCTGTGTGTCAAACCACTCTTCAGTTATGGTCATTAACCCTAGTTTGTGCAGTATTTATGGGAATCAAGGAAAAACTATTGTGAACGTGGTTGTATGATTATTTTCAATCACTTTTTTTGGTTTGAGTTGTCGAAAGGTTAATTTTGTCTGAGAACCTCGATTCAACCTGATTTACAGCTCCCTGTAATTGTGTTGCAAATAAGAAAAAAAAAGAAGGATAGTAAAATAATCACAGGTGTAATCTGATCTAGCTTTTGCCATAGTTTCTCACATAAACCTCTTTAGTATTTTTCCCATTGTGACAGGGTTTATGATGAAAAAGAGAAGATCTCTTTTCTTCCTAGAAAATGATGCATCCTGTGGAGTAATTAATCTGGTTAAGGAACTAAGGCCAGTTCATTCTGCTCTTGATTCTCCCAACAATTTCTGTCTTACACAGAAATCACTGCAGTGAGAGCAATAAATTTGAGATGAATGACAGACTAATTATTTGTGACCTCGTTGTCATCTGCAGCACTGAACTGGCTGTGACCAATCCCAGTGCTTGGGCTGGGGATATTTTTAGTCTAAAAAAAATTTAAAGAAAAGACAGCTTTAAAAACAGTATCTCACTGGGCATCCAGCCTGTTTTTGTGAAGGTGCTGCTGAACTGGCACTCCTTTCCTGTTTTTTTCACTGCTGACCAGTGCAGGAACAGTGGATTTTGAGGTTAGCAAGTCACCATCTGCACTTAGCTAGTGATGGGACAAGCAAATCAGCTTTTGAGATGGAAAATTCCATGCAAAAATGTGAGATGTTGTTATATTGTGTCTAGCTAACCAACTGTGCATTGAAGAACATTGCCTGTAATTGCTGCATCTAACACACAAGTGCATATATAAAATATACTACATTCATTGTTCCCAAAAAACTTCTAGAGACACTTTAGTGCTCTTCTTGAGGAGTGAAGCAGTGTGGCATCATTAATTGCTGCTGTATGTTGGTCAGTATTACTGCATTGCTAGAACTGTCAGTCAGACTAAGCTACAGTTTGGGTAACAGATGCAGAAAAAACCTCACAGCAATATGCTCTGAGAGTGGGGGACATGTGCAATGACTCCTTCCCAGAACAAGAGCAGATTAGCAGCTTGAAGAGCTAGACTATCAGATTTAAGGAAAAGGTAGATGAAATAATAGTCATTATGCATGGTTTGGCAGGCTGTCTAACTGATTCCCTCCTAAGAAAAGTAGCAAAGTGCCTGATGCTTCCTGTGGGATGGGAGTTTCATTCTCCCATTACTTGTGCCTTAAAGACACAAGTGTTTTGTTCCATAAACTACAAGAGCACAGGGCGTAAAGAATGAAGTTTTCAACTCCTGGAATTAAATTGTTGTTTAAAGTCAAGTGAGCACGCCACGTCTTGGAGACCCTTTCATCACAGCAGGTCAGTTAACTTTAATGAAGTCATCTTCAGTTTGCTTTGATGTAACATCAGAACCCAGCCTAGATGATTCCAAATCATCAGCAAATGAATTTCCACACTGAGGTCTTTCAAGGACATAGGCTTTGTGAAGTGTCTGGTTTTCTGGTGGATTTTTTTTTTTATTTTTTAGAAGTGCCTAAATTGAGATTTTTTTGGAGGGAACTGCTGACTTTTCTCCTAAACTGAGCCCCCTTTAAGACTCCATATGCTGGGCATGTAAAGCAGAGTCTTGCAGCATCACTGCTTGCTGTTAGTGCCTGTTCAGCCTGAGACTGTATCATGCAGGAACATTAGGCTGCTCTGCTTTTCCTTTAGGGTGGGGAGAGATTTAGAGTCTCAGACATGTAATTTCTGTAATTACTTGAGCAAGGAATAATTGTCAGGCCAGGGATGGCAGCATTAGGCCCTTCTGTTCTAATTTTTCCAGAGCAAGTAAAGTTAAATACTACAGCTGGTCAAAGTGCCAAGTAGCCTCTCATCCTAAATGGGAACAGAAAGGACAAATGTTACAATTTCCTTCAAAATGAAGCTCCCTGAAATATTTTCAGGAATACTGAACGTGGATTGAAGTGCTTCACTTACTAAGGTAGAAGATTTTCTGTGATTTGAAATCAAGACAACCCTTGAGTTTTAGTCATGTTTCAAGAGAGAACTATGATTTGTCTTGTTCTCCACTTTTCTTACAGAAAATTCAAGCAGTCCTTCTTAAATGCCCCAAGTATCATTATATTAGGCATCATAATACTTGTAGTAATTAAGATAGAACCTGTCAGGACTGCACTAGAGAATGACCCACCAGTGCCATAGGTCCTGTTCTCACTCAGCACACTCAGTGGTGTCTTAGTAAGGAACAGCTCAACACAGTGCTGTGGTTTAGATTTGTCTCCAGTTATTGCATTAGGTCCAGATTCTCCAGGATTTTTAGTGGCTTGTGCTGGTAACTCGTGATTTTTTTCATTATTTGTTTTTTTTTTTTTTAATAACAGAAAGTTGATAAGCAGGACTAGGTGCTCTGCCAACCTGCTTCTTTAATTCTCCTTGCACAGTTTGAGACCAGTCCATAGCTGTGTGCCCAAACTGGGAACCAAACCTGAGCCATTCAGGTGCTCAGTGGGCTTAGAGTCACAGAGCAGCTGCCTCAGGTCCAACATGTACTGCAGAACTGACATTAATGTGGAGTTAATGGCACATCTACATGTGGTAGAAATGAACGTTATTTCCCTTCAAATGAGGGGAGCTATAATGGGCTATACTGGGAAATCCTCCAGTTCTTACGGGAAAATTTTTTCTTAATGGTCTTAACAATAATTAGGCATTTTGGAAAAAGAAGAAATCGTGAGAGCTGCTAATTAATTCTTTATAGTTTGCTCGTTATGCGCTGATTCTATGAGATGTGTTGATTTGGACTCCGGTTGGAAAAGCTGAGGATAATTTCCACAGAGCCATGAGGGTTTCAGGGCTGAGCTTCGTGGGAGCTCAGGTTTCATTTATCTGAAAACATTTTGTGGTCACAGAAGAGGTTCTATCCATTACCTTTTTATGAAGAATTTAATTTTTTTTTTTTTTTTTTTTTTTAAATCTGTTTCATTTAGGTCTGGCAAAGCCCATGGGATTAGTTGAAGGTCCAGGGGCCTGGGCCAGGGGGGAATGGCTGCTACCCTCAGAGATGATAGCCACGAGTCAGAGACTAAATATGAAGAATACGGTTACAACGCCCAGCTCAGTGACAGGATATCACTGGACAGGTCCATCCCTGACTACAGACCAAAAAAGTAAGTTGAATTCCACATTAGTTATTATTATTATTATTATTATTATTATTATTGAGACTAAGAGGTTGATTGTTGTGATGGCTTTGTTCTCTTCACATCCCTTCCTGGTTGGAGCATGACACCAGTTAGTCATACAGATACCCCTGTAGTTGAGTGAAAAATCAAGGAGACCAACTCAGGCACGTTAAATGCATGGCTGATACTGTCAGTAGTGCATTAATATGCACATTCAAGGCCTCAGATAAAATACTGCATGAGGATATTGGTGCTTCTTGGGCTTGGTTCTCTTAGAAAAAGCCTTCAGAGGTGGCAGGCTCAGTCTGTCCTCCTTGTAGTCACGTGCAGTGGGAGGGGGAAGTGCAACAAACACATTACAGTCATTGGTTCCTTAAAAAAACCCCACCAACCACATCTAATCAAGTGTCTTTAATTACATTTGATGTTCTTAGAATTGTTCAACCGGGGTTTGCAATGTGCTGAAACACGGACTAAGTGTAACCCATCGGGGGCCTGTAATTGCAGGGAGATTTTCTTTTTGCCTTTGGAATGTGTGTCTGTTTTTATTCTGCTGTTTATAGTCTTCACACGCCTGTGCTATGCTTGACATTGCAATTACATGTTTATTATTTGTGCTGATTTATTATATTTTGTATTAAATATCTTTCAAATCTTTCATATTTATGGAGTTATGTATCTTCCAGATGAGACATCCACACTGTCATCCCATGAATGACAATCAGTAATGTCTTAATGCAGAGGAGATCAGCAACAATGCCTAGTTGCTCTCAGGAGACAGAATTGAAAAGAATACTTAATTAATTTCTAATAATAATCTTCTGTTTTAAAGGACCCACTGGGGCTCCTAGGCAGAACTGAAAGTTAAATAAAAAAAATATCTTATTAAGTGGTGAGAAAAGTTTAGCCAAGCAAAACAGCTGTGCTCTGTGAGTAGATTGCAATTGAATTAGGATTTTAGGCAGCTCAAGCTGCCAAAAAAACAAAACTTCAGCTTAACTACAAATTTCATTAGCTGTGTTGCATATTAATCTGATCTCAGAAGTATTGACTCAGCGTTTGTTTTCTCAAACACTCGCTGTAGAAAAGATCCCAGAAGTGGCAAAGAGAGAACAACCTCCGGACTTGCTGTCACGTCTTTGATGCGAGTACCCTGACTTGTTCAGTGGTCTCATCTCTCCTTCTCCCTTGATGTATCCTATCAACCCATCGTGGAATTATGCTGGGGAGAAAGAATTAGCCTGTAGTTATGCAGATAGTCGGAACTGTGCCTGAGATCTGGTCCAAAGACCCTTGAGATCGATGTGAAGTTCCTCAAATGAAAGGCGGCGAGGTTTGACCCGGGCCGTTATCAGCGGCTGCGGTCAGGTGGATGAGGATAAATGAGATGTGTTCTGCTAGGAGGCACAAAAGCAGAGGCTGCAGAGCTTAAACCTGGCTCAGCAGCTGTCAGAGGCATGAGAGCATTTGCAATGCAGTGATGTTTCACTTCAGATTAGACTCTTCCACCGCTTTACTGGGAAGCTTTGATGAGTCGCTCAGATAAGCTTTTTGACGTGCTCCTTTTTGGGTATCTCGTAAGGCTGTGCTACGTGATTAACTGGCTGAGTTACTGGGAGAACTGCCTTCCTTCTCGTGTTTTGACACTTTTGAGGTGGTTCTAGTCAGACCTAGATGCTGGAATTGATGCACTTGTCTCTGGGTGCTGACGAGTCACAGGAAAGCCCTTCAGATTGAATTTGCTGTGAAAGATGAGTGAAGGTCTGGAGAAGGCAGAAGCTCTTGTTATATGAAGAGTTTTATCCACTTGTGTGGATTGAGAGCAGCCCTGAGGAGAAGGACTTGGGGGTGTTGGTTGACAGGAAGCTCAAAGTGACCCAGTAATGTGCACTCACAGTCCAGAAAGCCAAACATGTCCTGGGGCTCATCCCCAGCCACAAAGTCTGTGACCAGTCTATGAATAAAAGCACTTCCCTGAATTTGCATTCCCAAAGGATTAAACCATTCTTTCTCTCCATTTAATTTAGTCAGATCTCCATATTTGCACACAGAAATAGGTATTCAAGATATGAACTGGAAGAATTTATACTCGAGTCTGCATTGCATAGGCACAATTTGTTAAAGTAAACATGATTTCACTGTGAAAATTTGAGACGTGGAATATTCCAGCCCTGATCAGAAATACTATCTTTTAGTTCATTTTATATTTGACCTCCCCCTTATTGTTGTCCACTATCTTATTCTGATAGAATAAGCCTTCTGTTCCATCTCCTTGCATAGGCTCATAAACATGCAGCAGTTTAATTGCTTTGCAGGAGAGATTTTCTTCCCCACACAGCAAATTAAAAAAAATATGTTCCACTGAAGAGGTGTGCAGCCAGCCAGCGTGACCATGAAGGCTCTTAAATTGGAGTCACCTCCATGTCCTTCCACTGCAGCAAAGTCTCAGGCCTGGGTGGGCAGTCCTGCTCTCAGGATGCTTTTCTCACATCATGCTCTGCTTTCCTACCTGCTGCTGCCAGTGCAGATACTCCTTTTAGCTCAGAAACCTTTTCCTTAGGGTAGGAACTGCTGTAAGTACAGGAGGCAAGAGGATTTTGTGCATGTTGTGTTTGCGTGCCAAGTAAGAAGCAATGCAGTAAATAGCTCAGTTGTGATTACAAATCACACAATAATTACAAAATTACTGTTTGATCCTAGTGTGGTGTAATAAATGTCTCAGCCTCTTCTCCTCAGTATCAGAGATTTTTAAATATCTATCAGGCATGTGTAAATAATATCAGTATCTGAAGTTTTTCAAGGGCTGTACCACTGTAGAAAGTATGTTGCAGAGAGCTCAGGATGTTTAATGTCCTGATCTCTCTTCCCAAGAGTAAAGAATTAGCAGGACTTTCTAGCCCTCACTGACATAACTTATGTTAGTGCAGTGGAAGAAAGAGAAGCTTCTCTTGGAAGGAACAGGTTATTTTTTTCCTTGGAAGCACATGGCTAAGCTGGAGCTTGCTCTGTGATGCAGTGGGAAAAGTGTTACTTGATGTTGAAGTTCTACTGGATTAATTTCCATATGTGTTCTTCCATATTCAAAATGAGCATGTGTTTATCTCAGTTATCTCTACCAATACATGCAGGTGTAGAACAGCCCAGAATCCTGCCCATGGGAGCTCTGCTGGGCTCTTTCCATGCCTTTCTTACCAGAATGCCAAAGGGACAGGGTTTCATTGAAACAGTCAAAACAGAGCTGGAGATTTTGGTGGAGATTGTGCACTTCCCAGCAGAAGAACCCAGAGTCAGCCATGCATAAAGACAGAGGGGCTACAGCACATTCTGACTTGATCAAAGATAGAACCGAAAAAATCAAAACCTTAGGGAGCGTCATTCAAAGTTAGGGGGAAAGTCCCCCAAACTTACCAAAGCTGTTTGTTTTACAGTGCAGCATCCTGGAAAAGTGGGAAGTGTCAGCTAACCAGATGCTTTCAAACAGAAGCATCGTCTCTCAGGATAACATCAATTCCCCTGTTCTTTCTGGTGCACAGGCTGGATAGCAAGGGGTTGAATGGAACAGGTGCTACACCTGTAAATTTTGGCATTTTCTAACTTTCTACCGCTTGACTTCGCAACTTAAATCACTTCCAGGCTTTCTTTACATGCAGGACATGTCCACACACGGAGAGGCACACTCACACACACACACTTGTCAAAATCCCTTGCTGTGATGCATTATGCATACTTTTGAGAAAAGTTAATATGATCCTGGAGCTTCCATAATGGCTAAATTGGCTTTTGCACAAAATTGTCGCTGCTTGGCGAGGAATTTTAATTTAACTGATCTTTTTTTTTTTTTGTGCAGCTTGATGCCGAGTGCATTGTGGCAGTTCAGTGATAACAATAATACTAATATATGGATTCAGTCTGCTGGCTCTATCAGAAGATGTTTCTTTGTGTTACGGTCATGGATGTTTGTATTGAGAAGATTCTGCCCTAAAGAACAAACTTATTAATGCCGTGGCAACTCGAGTCTTTAGCCATAAAGCACAGAGAAATCTGGAAATTGCTTTCATTTGTTCAGTTCTTTCATGGAGGAGAGCGTTTTCGTGGCTTGCTATAGACATTTCACAATAGCAAAGGAATTGCATCTCCGGGCCTTGAAGTGTAATTAATGGTTCAATCCACCCTATACCTAAGGAAAAGCTTTTTTAATTACCGATCAAAAAGAATTCTGCAGTTGATCAAATAGTGCCATCGGGGGGGCAGACTTGGTAAATAGGCCTCTGATTTGTTCATCCAAGGGTTTAATAACAGTAGGTGGTGTGAGGCCAGGAGCTGTCAAACAGCCCTTCTGTCAGAGATGGTCCTGTGAGCTCCAGCTGCTGGAGGAGGCAGCGCCATCACCTTTAATTTTGGCCCTCTCTGTTGGCAGCAGAGCTCTGTGGGCTGGCTGTGGCGTGTGAGCCATCAGTCAGCAGCTCTCTGGAGCCGCACCGTGCGTGTGTTTGCAGTTCCTGTGGCGGGAGGAGGATCAGTGGTGTGGCAGGACGGCCCCTGCCCCAGGGGCAGCTCCTCTGCCCAGCAGGGCAGGAAGGCAGATGGCTCTCAAAGAGCATCATCGTTTGGATCACTGTGTTGGGGAAGGCTGGCTCTGGTGTCATTTGATTTTTCTCCACCTCTGCCACTTGCTCTGCCTCGTGACCCGTTTCTCAGATCCTCTGGGGGCACTGGGTATTCTTTGTGCCGTTTAGAAAAACGACACGAGAAACTCCAAATTAAAACAGAGCCTTAGGATTCCTCCCAGGTTAACCAGAGTGCAATGTTAACGGGCCTCTTCGCAAGGAATAATATTTGAAGTGGAACAGATCAGAGCTTTCCAGGAATCAGAATTTCTGATTAGCAGAAAATGACAACTGGAAAAAAAAAAAACAGCCTAAAAATATTTTGTGTCAGGCTGAACAGATCTGTGAAATGTTTATTAAAAGTAAATATTTAGACCA